TGGGTGTGGTGGCCCATACCTCAACTACTCAGGAGGCTGAAGTGGGAAGATCACCTGAGCCCCAGAGGTGGAGGCTGCAATGAGCCATGATCACGCCACCGCACTCCGGGGCAACAGAGTGAGAGCCTGTCTCAAAAAAAATTTTTTTAATTAAAAAAATAATTTATATCTCTTTGCTAATATTCTCTATTTGATGGAATATCATCATATATCTTCCATTACTTCTTTAATCATGCTTTCCCTTATTCTATGAACATATTTGTAGTGGTTATTCTGAAATATTTTTCTGTTAAAATCTGTTGCTTACACAGGCAGGTTCTGTTCCTGCATTTTTTTTTTTCTGGTATACTAGTCATACTTTCATTTCTTTGCTAATTTTTTGTTGGAAAGTGGACATTTTAATAACATTAAATAATTGAACAGCACCCAATAGCAACTCTGGGTACAGGTCCAAACCCCCTCCCTTCTGGAGCTTGTATTGCTGTTTGCTTGTTTATTTGCTTAGTGACTAGCTGGATTATTTTGGTGAAGCCTTTACCTCTCCCCTACAATGTTCTGCCTCTGATGGTCCTCTTCAGGGAGGTGCAGCTATGTGTATGCCCACAGTCACCCTGGAATGACAGTGGTTCTGGTAAGGCTCTCCTACTCTCTTTTCCTAATCATGCCCAGCTGTTAAACTCCACTAATTGCCACTCCTAAACTTCACTGTTTGCTCTATTGTTTTCGATAATACTCTGGGCACAAATTCCTCTGCAAACTAATCCAAATTGTGGCCTCTTAGATAGAACAGTTTCAGAGGCCAGTGTTTTTTATATTCTTTAATCCCAGTAGGGCTCCACCCAGCTGTCTTTTTTTTTTTTTTTTTTTTGAGACGGAGTCTCGCTCTGTCACCCAGGCTGGAGTACAGTGGCCGGATCTCAGCTCACTGCAAGCTCCGCCTCCCGGGTTCACGCCATTCTCCTGCCTCAGCCTCCCGAGTAGCTGGGACTACAGGTGCCTGCCACCTCGCCCGGCTAAGTTTTTGTATTTTTAGTAGAGACGGGGTTTCACTGTGTTACCCAGGATGGTCTCGATCTCCTGACCTCGTGATCCGCCCGTCTCGGCCTCCCAAAGTGCTGGGATTACAGGCTTGAGCCACCGCGCCCGGCCGCAGCTGTCTTATTACCCCATTTTCTCCTGCAAACTAGCCAACCTCCAACCTAGGCTGTATCTTCATTAGATCCATGAATCTCCTTCCAGTTGCTTTTCACCATAATGTCTACTGCTGTTGAGAATACCCTTGGGTTTAAACTTCCTTGTATTCCCTTGCAAGTAAGGTCAGTTCCTATGGGAAGCGATCATGGGCTGTTTTACAACCTGCCTTTCCCCTCCAGGCAAAATCTCTTAGCTCAGTGGCAAACTTCTGAGTCACACTCCCACTCTAGGAGCTGAGCAGTCAGTGGAAGGGAGGCAGCAGCCACTCCTGGCATGGAACTGTCACCTCATAAGCCGTGAGAAGGGCTATCAGGACCCCGGTATTCTCAGCATGTCACACCCAAAGTATAGTCCACTTTCCACAAGTAGGGGCTAAGTGGAAGAAGGGAGCCCCACCTCGACCAGACTCACTCAGGACTTACTTCCACAACAGGCAGCTGGGAGAGGGATGAGATACACTGAAGTATTCCCTCTTCCCAGGAAAAAAGCCCTCTGGCTGGGAGATGGAAGAAGAGAATCCTGTGTTCTTGGCAACACCAATCTGGTGTGGAGTCCACCTCCCTTTGCTGGACTGAGTTGTCTTGATTCAATACCACAGACTTGCCTTTCTTACTAAATTCTCATAGATTTTCTTGAATAGGTGTTTCTTTTTTTTTTTTTTTTAACGGAGTCTCACTCCATCACCCAGGCTGGAGTGCAGTGGCAGGATCTCGGCTCACTGCACCCAACCTCCGCCTCCGGGGTTCAAGCAATTCTCCTGCCTCAGCCTCCCTAGTAGGTAGGATTACAGGCATGCACCATCATACCCAACTAATTTTTCTTTTTTTTTTTTTTTTTTTAGTAGAGATGGGGTTTCACCATGTTGGCCAGGCTGGTCTTGAACTCCTGATCTCAAGTGATCCATCCACCTTGGTCTCCCAAAATGCTGGGATTACAGGCATTAGCCACCACACCCGGCCTTGAATAGATGTTTCTTCATTTGCTGTTTGCCCTTCAGACCATTTCCAGAAGCTTTAATTTGTTCTCTCTTTCATTTTTATTTTATTGGGCGCTTTCTTTTTCTTTTTTCTTTTTTTTTTTTTCTGAGACAGAGTCTCACTCTGTCACCAGGCTGGAGTTCAGTGGCGCAATCTTGGCTCACTGCAACCGCCACCTCCCAGGTTCAAGTGATTCTCCTGCCTTAGCCTCTTGAGTAGCTAGGACTATAGGCATGTGCCACCATGCCCACCTAATTTTTGTATTTTCAGTAGAAACGGTTTCACCATGTTGGCCAGGATGGTCTTGATTTCTTGATCTCATGATCCGCCCCCCTCGGCCTCCCAAAGTGCTGGGATTACGGGCGTGAGTCACCCCGCCCGGCTTGTTGACCTTTCAACTCAGCTTTATTTATTTATTTTTTTTGAGATGGAGTCTCGCTCTGTCGTCCAGGCTGGAGTGCAGTGGCCGGATCTCAGCTCACTGCAAGCCCCGCCTCCCGGGTTCACGCCATTCTCCGGCCTCAGCCTCCCGAGTAGCTGGGACAGAAGGCGCCCGTCACCTCGCCCGGCTAGTTTTTTGCATTTTTTTTTTTTTATTTAGTAGAGACGGGGTTTCACTGTGTTAGCCAGGATGGTCTCGATCTCCTGACCTCGTGATCCGCCCGTCTCGGCCTCCCAAAGTGCTGGGATTACAGGCTTGAGCCACCGCGCCCGGCCAGCTTTATTTTTTTTAAATAATTTTTACCAGGCTGAGCGTGGTGGCTCACACCTGTAATCCCAACACTTTGGGAGGCCAAGGTGGGTGGATCACGAGGTCAGGAGTTCAAGACCAGCCTGGCCAACATGGTGAAACCCCGTCTCTACTTAAAACACAAAAATTAGCTGGGTGTGGTGGGACCTGTAGTGGCAGCTACTCGGGAGGCTGAGGCAGTAGGATTGCTTGAACCTGGAAGATGGAGGTTGCAGTGAGCCGAGATCGTGCCACTATACTACAGACTGGGTGAAAAAGCAAGACTCTATCTCAAAAAAATAAAAATTAAAATTAATAACAATAATTTTTACCAGTTTCACTGGGGAGCTGCTCAGCAGAACTCCCCATGCTTTCATTCTGGAAGTGAATCTGCCTTTTATTTCTTCTTGCTTAATTGCAAGGGTTAGAAATTCCAATAATATATTGAAATGAGTGGTGAGTAGAGACACCCTTGCCTTGTTCCCAATCTTAAAAAGCATTCAATCTTTCACCATTAAGTATGATGTTAGCTATATAAGTTTTTTGTATAAGATCTTTATCAAGTTTATTTTTAACTTGCTGAAAGTGTGTGTGTTTTTTTTAATCATGAAGGATGGTTGTTGTGTCAAACACATTTTCTGTGACAACTGATACCATAATTTTTCTTCTTTAGCCTGTTGGTGTTGTGGATTATTGTTGATTGATTTTCAACTGTCAAACCAGCCTTGCATACCTGGAATAAATTCCACTTGGTCATGGTGTATATTTTTTTTATACATCGTTATATTTGATTTGCCAATATTGAGAATTTTTGTGCCTGAATTCATGAGAGATACTGGTCTGCAGTTTTTGTTTTGGAGGTCTTGGGGGGTATTGACACTTTGTTAGTTTTGACATCAGGATATTTCTTGCCTTATAAAATGAGTTAGGAAGTGTCCCCTTCTCTTTTGTTTTCTGAAAGAGATTGTTTAAAGTTGATGTTAATTCTAATGGTGTGGTGTGTCTGGTTCCTGGGGTACAGCAGGGAGAGATGCCCAGCAGGCAGCCAGGTATGTAGCACTGAGCCTTGAGGCAGGTCTGGGGGAGTCAGAGGGCAGCCCCTGGCTTAATTAGCTCAAAGTTAGAACCCACAGAAGACTGAGGATTTTGAAACCTCCCTCCCTGTCTGTGACAATGGCTACTCTGATTCCCCCCACCCCAATCAGGGGTGATGACAATGCCTCATTCATCTGTCTCCCTGGTGCCTGGCACGGGGGGCGGGGGGTGCTCAGTGAATCTGGGTGGCGCAGTAGCCTGTGTGAAAGCAAGAGGCATTTCAGGAAATTCATGAGGCGGGCTTCTTCCTGGGAGGTGTGGCAGAGGGTGCTGCCAGGAATAGAGGGAAACACTTTCTTCCCTTTTCCTTCTACTGCCTAGGGAAGTGTGGGGGTGGAGGGGAGGTGAAGGGACAGATCAACGAGTTGCCAAGAGACCTGGAGACCGACCCATCCGGGCTGCCTTCCCTGGTGCGCTCTCGCCGGCTCCATCCCTGGTTGCCATGGAGACAGGAGGCGGTTGCCACGGAGACCGACGACTGCCAGGACCAGCCAATCACTCCGGAGCTGCAGCTCCAGGGCTCACCTTTTGGCTGGAGGCATCGGGCTGGGCGGGGCCCCTTCCTCCCCAGGCCCTGCACCTTCTGCTTGGTCAGCGCAGCCACCGCCGCCCAAAGCGCTCCGAGCATTCCAGGATCCCAACCACCTCCCCAATCTCCCACAACCAGGGTTCTGGGGGCGTCCCCGCCTCTTCCCGGCCACGGGCTAATGCCACCCTGAGGCAAGCCAGCTTCCAATTGGCCCTGAAACCCTCCCTCGTTAATGCTGTGGAAAAGGCGGGACCGGGCGCAGGCGCCCACCCCCGCTCCCCCTCGAAACCGCGCACAGCTAGAGGGAGGCCACAGCCGGGTGGGGCGGGGGCGGGGGCGGGGGCGGGGAGGGAGCCCTCCCACCCCCCGCACGCCCTCCGCAGTGCCGGGCGAGCCCGCGCACGCTCACTCGCGGGGATAGGCGGGCGGGGCGGCCTGACGTCACCCACTGCCTCCACCGCCTGGCCGAGGGGCGGTGGCCGCGCAGGCTCGGCGGGGCGGCGGCACCGACTGACAGAGGGTCGGAAGGACTGAGGGACGGGCGGGCGCACGGCCAGGCCATGCCTGGGGAGGCTGCCCGCGCCGAGCTGCTGCTGCCCGAGGCGGACGGACCCGGGCCCCGCACAGGTGAGGCCGTGGCCACTCCGTCCCTGCCTCCAGCGTCTCCCCTCTCCAGCCCGGGTTCTCTTTCCATCGCTCACCTTTCACCCCCTCCCCCATCTCCTCGAGTCCCCTCCCCTTTCCGCGCCCTGTCCTTCCCTCCATCTGAACCCTGCCCCCGCCTCTCCCAGAACTGCGGGGAAGGTGGGGCGCACGACGTGCCCTCCGCGAGCCAGAAAGGACATGGGGGCTTAAGCCCTTGGCCTCTGACCCAGGGATCGTGGGGCTCGCATCCCGCCCGCTGCATCCCGTTGTCCGCACCGAGCTGCCAGCCTGCCGGGGCTGGGCCACTCTGGACAGAGGCAGTGGGTTCTGGAGGCGGGGTGTCCGGCCGATACCCCCAATACGATCAGGTGACCACCGGGAGGGTCCTCAGCTGCACCAGGCCTGTCCTGGGCTGGCGACTGGTCATGGCTCTGGAGGGAGGAGCAGGACTGGCTGGAGCCTGGGAAGCCTGGATGGAGGGCCAGGTTGTGGAAGAAAGGCTAAGTTGGGTCTGGAAAGTGAAAGGCCTTGGGGGAGGTGGCCTGATTAGCAATGGCCCCGGTGTGCAGATCACCTGTCCTTAGGCTGGGTCAACAAATGCTGGTGGAGGCTGATGGGGTCTACCAGGGCCTAGAAAGAGCCCAGCCTGCACAGTCCTGGCGTGGAGGTCAGCCATGTGTGGGTAGGGCCAAGGGCACCTTGCTGTGGGCAAGAAGTCACCCAGAGATGGGACCAGTGCTGGGGCCTGGGGCCTGGTTTGGGGTGACATAGGCTGCTGCCTCTGCTCTAGGTGGGAGGCAGGGAGTGCAGGCCCGGACTTCCCAGCCCCAGGGTCTTGTGCTGGCTCTGTTCTGGCTTGCTTGGTGACCTTGAATGAGTTACAAAAACCTTTGGCCTTTGATTTCTGTTCCATCCCAACAGTTCAGCCGTTCCCCTGCCCTGGGGGCCACACCAGGGACCAGAACCAAGAGCCTAGCTTCAGGGCACCCAGTGATGCCCCACCAGCCACGCCCACTCCTGGTGTTGAGTGTCAGGCATGCAGAAACCCAAAGGACCCCTTGTCTCAGGACGCCCTGGCTGTCCCATTACCCCAGCAGCAAAGCCCTCGGGGGACGAGTTTTGGCTGGTGGCTCAGGGTTCAGGGCTCTGATGCTGCTGAGGGGAGCTGGAGCAGCCTGGCAAGAGGGCCCCCCTTCTTTAAGCTTCACCTCTAATCCTGGCTCTGCTTTGCAGATGAGAAAACTGAGGTGCAGGAGATGTCCTGGTCACTAGTGAGTTCAGTAGAGCAGGAGCCACTGGGCAGGCATCTGCAGCCTGGAGAGCTGGTCCCTGTGTGCCGCCCCTCCCCCACCCTGGGCAAGACCTGGCCTGGACTCTGAAGGGCCTTCACTGGATGCTTCAAACGGAGGTGCCTTTGGCCTAGGTCCAAGTGAGGGAGTGGACATAATGGAGACATTTAAAATGAGGCTTATGAGCATTTAGAGCACACAGAAAAATGCTTATGAGATTAGGTTGGGTGAAAACAGCTAGACTCAAAACTGAATGTGCAATGTGATCTCGCCTGTGATAAAATACAGGCCAGTAAGAGTCCAGGAGGCAGAAAACCATAGCGGTGTGGTGTGCCGCAACCTCGGAGGGGTTTTATTCCATCTTCCTGAGTCCCCTTTCCGACCCATGGCTGCTACTTCCTATGTGCATGGACTCCTTTCTCAGCTGGAGGTGTGTTAGCGCACAGACGTTTACTGAGTACCACGGCCTCCTCATACTGAAGCCTGCCCAGGGGGTTGGCGGAGTGCACCATGGGACCCAGAGAAGGCCCACAGGGCAGGGTGGGAACTCCCAGCACCCGGGAAGGAACTGGTGGTCACCCATGGGGTGGCTGCCACCAAGGAGAGGACTTGGCCAGAGGCTGCTGTTGGCCCTCTGAAGCTGTCCCGTGCTCTTGCTGGGCTCCACAGTCCCCCGTTCCTGCCCACCACTGCCCTTGTAGCCAGATGCTCCAACAAAGCCTCCGAGGGACACTTCATCTCTGTTCTCCAGAAACTTGGCTGCGTGTGGTGGCCCCTAGATTCCCCATCTCCCTGGCCGCAGGAGGGGAGCAGGGTCAGAGGGGTCTGATGAAACCCTGATATGTTGGCCTGAAGTGTAGGTAGCAAGGACAGCAGAGAGAGGAGGCACAGCGAGGCATGAAGCCTGGAACGTTCGAGCTGCGCACGTCGTGCTGGTGCCCCCTGCCTCATGTGGCGCATCTATTGGGAGGTCATGGGATGGGGCTGGCGCTGCCTGGCAGATTCCCACTGCCAGCCCCTCCCGCTGAGCCCAGCTGAACCACACTGATTCTGTGGAATGAAAACTGCAATCCAGTCTCCTCAGAGAGGCTGAAATGCTAGTTCTTTGCTGAGCTATCCTTGAGGAAAGCCGCTGAGCAGGTCTGTTCATGACTCCCAGCAGCACTTCCCTCAAAACCCCTCTCTAGGAAACTGCTAGTAGCTGCTCTCTGCTGTCAAAACTCTTGGAAGTTCTCCCTCAAACGCAGCGCGCGCAGCATCTTCTCTTTTCTCTCCTGCCTTCCTGGGTCTGCCTTCCTCTGGGCCCTATGCAGCGGAAATTCATCTCCCCAGGCCTGGCCCTTGCCTGAGAGATGCATCCAGGGGCACCTCACAATCTTCTCTATCTCCACAGATCTGTCCTGCGATGCAGCTGCTGCCACCACCATCCTGGGAGGGGACCGGCGGGAGCCCTGTGCTCTGACCCCAGGGCCCAGCCACCTGGCCCTCACGTTCCTGCCCAGCAAGCCGGGCGCCCGGCCCCAGCCTGAGGGAGCCAGCTGGGATGCAGGGCCTGGTGGGGCACCCTCAGCCTGGGCAAATCCAGGGGAGGGCGGCCCGAGCCCCATGCTCCTCCCTGAGGGCCTGTCTTCCCAGGCTCTGTCCACCGAGGCTCCTCTCCCGGCCACCCTGGAGCCCCGGATTGTGATGGGAGAGGAGACGTGCCAAGCCCTCCTGTCACCCAGGGCTGCCCGGACAGCGCTCAGGGACCGGGAGGGTGGGCATGCAAGCCCAGACCCACCCCCCGAGTTGTGTTCTCAGGGTGATCTTTCTGTGCCTTCCCCTCCCCCAGACCCTGATTCCTTCTTTACACCTCCCTCCACCCCCACCAAGACCACCTATGCCCTGCTTCCCGGCTGTGGGCCCCTTGGAGATGCGGGGGACTCAGAGGCTGAGCTGTGGGATGAGCTGCTGGACTCGCCCCCGCCTTCACCCTCGGGCTCCTACATTACGGCCGATGGGGACAGCTGGGCCTCTTCACCCTCCTGTTCCCTCAGCCTGCTGGCTCCAGCTGAAGGGCTGGACTTCCCCTCAGGCTGGGGCCTGTCCCCCCAGGGGTCCATGGCGGATGAACGAGAGCTGCACCCTGCCGGAACCCCAGAGCCCCCCTCCTCTGAGTCCAGCCTCTCTGCAGACAGCAGCTCCTCCTGGGGCCAGGAGAGCCACTTCTTTGACCTGGACTTCCTGGCCAATGACCCGATGATCCCTGCAGCCCTCCTACCCTTCCAGGGCAGCCTCATCTTCCAGGTGGAGGCAGTGGAGGTGACACCGCTATCCCCAGAGGAAGAAGAGGAGGCTGTGGCGGATCCCGACCCAGGTGGGGACCTGGCTGGGGAGGGTGAGGAGGACAGCACGTCCGCCTCCTTCCTGCAGTCGCTGTCTGACCTGTCCATCACGGAGGGCATGGATGAGGCCTTTGCCTTCCGAGACGACACCTCTGCAGCCTCCTCTGATTCAGACTCAGCCTCCTACACAGAGGCAGATGACGAGAGGCTGTACAGCGGGGAGCCCCATGCCCAGGCCACCCTCCTCCAGGACAGTGTCCAGAAGACAGAGGAGGAGAGCGGAGGTGGGGCCAAGGGGCTGCAGGTTCAGGAAGGGACTATGTCCTGGGCCCTGGAGGCTGCACCTCAGACCTCAGACAGAGGGGCCCATCTCTCCCAGAGACAGGAATCGATCTCAGAAGTAACAGAAGAGGGCCTTGCTTTAGGCCAGGAGTCCACTGCCACTGTGACCCCTCACACTCTGCAGGTAGCCCCAGGCCTCCAGGTGGAGGCGGCTACCAGGGTGACCCCTCAGGCTGGGGAGGAAAAAGCAGACTCCACCACTGGACAAGCATCTGCTGCCATGGCAATGCCTCAGCCCTCCCAGGAGGGCATCAGCGAGATCTTAGGCCAAGAGTCTGTCACTGCAGAAAAACTTCCAACTCCACAGGAAGAAACAAGCCTCACATTGTGTCCAGACTCTCCTCAGAACTTGAAGGAAGAAGGAGGGCTGGACCTCCCCTCTGGCCCAAAGCCTGTAGCTGCAGCCTCACTTATGCCCCAGCAGGCTGAAGAGGACCTCACCTTACCCCAGGACCCCGCTGTGACACCACCTCTGCCTCTGCAAGACATGGATCTCTCGTCAGCCCCAAAGCCTGTGGCTGCAGCCACAACTGTCCCCAGGAAGGCTGAAGAGGACCTCACCTTACCCCAGAGCCCCGCTGTGACACCACCTCTGCCCCTACAAGACACAGATCTCTCGTCAGCCCCGAAGCCTGTAGGTGCAGCCTCGCTTGTGCCCCAGCAGGCTGAAGAGGACCCCACCTTACCCCAGGACCCCACTATTATACCACCTCTGCCTCTACAAGACACAGATCTCTCGTCAGCCCCGAAGCCTGTGGCTGCAGCCACGACTGTCCCCAGGCAGGCTGAAGAGGACCTCACCTTACCCCAGGACCCCACTATTATACCACCTCTGCCCCTACAAGACACAGATCTTTCGTCAGCCCCGAAGCCTGTAGATGCAGCCTCGCTTGTGCCCAGGCAGGCTGAAGAGGACCCCACCTTACCCCAGGACCCCGCTGTGACACCACCTCTGCCCCTACAAGACACAGATCTCTCGTCAGCCCCGAAGCCTGTGGCTGCAGCCACGATTGTCCCCAGGCAGGCTGAAGAGGACCTCACCTTACCGCAGGACCCCACTATTATACCACCTCTGCCCCTACAAGACACAGATCTCTCGTCAGCCCCGAAGCCTGTGGCTGCAGCCACGACTGTCCCCAGGCAGGCTGAAGAGGACCTCACCTTACCCCAGGACCCCACTATTATACCACCTCTGCCCCTACAAGACACAGATCTTTCGTCAGCCCCGAAGCCTGTAGATGCAGCCTCGCTTGTGCCCAGGCAGGCTGAAGAGGACCCCACCTTACCCCAGGACCCCGCTGTGACACCACCTCTGCCCCTACAAGACACAGATCTCTCGTCAGCCCCGAAGCCTGTGGCTGCAGCCACGATTGTCCCCAGGCAGGCTGAAGAGGACCTCACCTTACCCCAGGACCCCGCTGTGACACCACCTCTGCCCCTACAAGACACAGATCTCTCGTCAGCCCCGAAGCCTGTGGCTGCAGCCACGATTGTCCCCAGGCAGGCTGAAGAGGACCTCACCTTACCGCAGGACCCCACTATTATACCACCTCTGCCCCTACAAGACACAGATCTCTCGTCAGCCCCGAAGCCTGTGGCTGCAGCCACGATTGTCCCCAGGCAGGCTGAAGAGGACCTCACCTTACCGCAGGACCCCACTATTATACCACCTCTGCCCCTACAAGACACAGATCTCTCGTCAGCCCCGAAGCCTGTGGCTGCAGCCACGACTGTCCCCAGGCAGGCTGAAGAGGACCCCACCTTACCCCAGGACTCTGCTATGACACCACCTCTGGCTCTGCAAGACACAGGCCCCACCTCAGGTCCAGAGCCTCTGGCTGTGGCCACCCCTCAGACCTTGCAGGCAGAAGCAGGCTGCACCCCAGGGACAGAGCCTGTGGCCACCATGGCTCAGCAGGAAGTAGGTGCGGCCTTAGGCCCCAGGCCAGCACCTGAGGAGAAGAATGCAGCCCTCTCTAGAGTACCGGAGCCTGCAGCCTTGGACCAGGTCCAACGGGATGACCCACAGCCAGCTGCAGAAGCTGGGACACCTTGGGCCGCACAGGAAGATGCGGATTCGACTTTGGGCATGGAGGCCCTCTGTCTCCCTGAGCCTGCCTCTGGTGCTGGGGAGGAAGTAGCAGAAGCCCTTTCTAGGCCTGGATGGGAAGCATGTCTGGAAGCCCTAGTGCACACAAGTGATGGGGCTAAGCCTGACTCACCCCAAAAGGAGACCCTGGAGGTTGAGAACCAGCAGGGAGGAGGCCTCAAGCCACAGGCACAGGAACATGGACCCGGGTCAACACTTGGAGGTGCAGGGGAGGTCCCCGAGACACCTCCTGCTGCCTGCCCTGAGGTCAGCCAGGCCTGGCTCCTGAGCCCAGCCAGGGAAGGAAGAGGCCTGAGTGGCAAGTCCACACTGGAGCCCACGCTTCCCTCAGCTGTGGCCACAGAGGCCAGTCTGGACTCCTGCCCAGAATCTTCAGTAGGGGCTGTGTCCAGGCTGGACAGAGGCTGCCCTGACGCACCTGCCCCCACATCTGCACCAACCTCCCAGCAGCCGGAGCCTGTGCTGGGAGGCTGCCCTGATGCACCTGCCCCGATGTCTACACCAACCTCCCAGCAGCTGGAGCCTGTGCTGGGTCTGGGCAGTGTTGAGCGACCCCACAAAGCACCCAGTGTCCTTGGCCCCCTCTTGCTGCAGCCCCCAGAAAACCTTGGCAAGGGTCTGCCCAGCGCACCCCCGGACAGGCCCCTGGGCCCTGATCTTTCTGCTCCTGGTACCCTTGCTGGGGCAGCCCTACCCCCACTGGAGCCCCCAGCCCCCTGTCTGTGCCAGGACCTCCAGAAAGACTCCGTGGAAGAAGAGGAGCCCCCAGGCTCTCTGGGCCTCCCAACGCCCCAGGCAGGAGCCCAGCCTGCCGCTGCTGCTGTCTCAGGAACCACACAGCCTCTGGGGACTGGGCCGCGAGTCAGCCTCTTGCCTCACTCCCCGCTCCTCAGCCCCAAGGTGGCCTCCATGGATGCCAAAGACCTGGCCTTGCAGATCTCGCCGCCTTGCCAAGTGCCTCCTCCCTCTGGGCCCCAGAGCCCAGCTGGCCCTCAAGGGCTCTCGGCCCCCGAGCAGCAAGAGGATGAGGACAGCCTGGAGGAAGGTAAGGGGGAGGGTAGGATTGAAGTGCCCTGGGGCTTGGGTCAACTGGACTCTTCCTTAGAGCTGTCCTGGGCTGGAGGGCCCCTGAGGTGGTGGGGTGGGGGGCCCAGACCCCACAGCCACCATGGGGAGCTGGCACTGCTTCCTCTGGCCCTGATGTGGCAGCAGGGCCAGGGTCCTGAATCCCCTTCCCCACCACCTAGAAGCAAAAGGCCATCCTCACACCTCTCCCCTTCCCCAGACTCGCCTCGGGCCCTGGGCTCGGGTCAGCATTCGGATAGCCACGGGGAGTCGTCAGCCGAGCTGGACGAGCAGGACATCTTGGCTCCTCAGACCGCGCAGTGTCCAGCCCAGGTGCCCAGTCCAGGGAAGAGGGTGGGCCTCTGGGAGGGCCCCACATCCCACCCACGGATGCTCAGCCCTCACCTTTTCCCAGGCCCCAGCAGGCAGCAGTGAGGAGACCATCGCCAAAGCCAAGCAGAGTCGCAGTGAGAAGAAGGCCCGAAAGGTGGGCTGGTGGTTTCCCCTGGGACCTCAGGCCTGGGACCATCTGTGTGGGGAACATCCTTACTAAGACCCTCACACTCCATGGCTAATGAAATCCCATCCATCGGGGGCCTTTGGATCCATGCCAGTAACCCACACACCTTCCCCTAAACAGCTGAGGCTGGAATGTCATGAGAGGGCCCTTGTAGACTGAGGCTCATGGGGAGGGACCAACCACCAGCCCAAGGTCTTGGGGAAGTTGGCGGTGGACACTTTGCCTTCCTGGGCACTGTGCTGCTCTCCTCCCCCGACGTGGGTCAACACCAGGTCTGAGCCCCCCTCTGCCCTCTACTCCCAGGCAATGTCAAAGCTGGGCTTGCGGCAGATTCAGGGAGTCACCAGGATCACCATCCAGAAGTCCAAGAACATCCTCTTTGTCATCGCCAAGCCTGATGTCTTCAAGAGCCCAGCCTCAGACACTTATGTGGTCTTTGGCGAGGCCAAGGTCTGGGTGGAGGCTGTGGTGGACTGGGGGGTCCGAGGGACGGGGGACAAGGGGGGTCACAGGCTCTACTGACCCAGCCGTCTTCCGTGTTGCAGATTGAGGACCTGTCCCAGCAAGTGCACAAAGCTGCAGCGGAGAAGTTTAAGGTGCCCTCAGAGCCCTCGGCCTTGGTCCCTGAGTCAGCACCCAGGCCCCGGGTGAGGCTGGAGTGCAAGGAAGAGGAAGAGGAGGAGGAGGAAGAGGTGAGGTGCAGAGGCTCCAGGACCTCTTGGGGGTTGTGGGAGGCGCTACACAGGGGCTCTGCCCCAGGGACCTCAAGCAGCTCCAGCCACTTCCCTGCTCTCCCAACCCTAGGTGGACGAGGCGGGGCTGGAACTGCGTGACATTGAGCTGGTGATGGCGCAGGCCAATGTGTCCAGGGCCAAGGCCGTGCGGGCTCTGAGAGACAACCACAGTGACATTGTCAACGCCATCATGGTGAGCACTGGCCCCTTTCCCTGCCCCCGAGCTGTCCCCAAGGGCCTCGAGGGGTCCTGATGTTGGCTCTATTGGGGGACACTTCCCCCAACATGACTGTCTCTTTCTGCAGGAACTGACCATGTAGCCACTGACCGGAAGCTGGAGCCATCCTACGCCTTCCCTCAGCTCTGCTACTCAATAAATTGGTGTCCCTCCATTGCCCTCTGGTGTCTCCTCGCCCTCTGGAGTCCCATCATCACCATCTGGCATCCCTTCACTTCCCTCTGGTGTCCCTTCACCCTCTGATGTCCCCTCACTGCCCTCTGGTGCCCCCTCATCACCCTCTGATGTCCCCTCACTCTCTGGTGTCCCCCACTTCCTTCTAGTGTCTCCTCACCACCTTCTGGTGTCCCTTCACTACTCTCTGGTGTCCCCTCATTTCTCTCTGGTGTCCACTCACCGCCCTCTGGTGTCCCCTCACGGCCCTCTGATGTCCCCTCATTACTCTTGGTGTCCCCTCATCACCCTCTGGTGTCCCCTTAATACTCTCTGGTGTCCCCTCACTGCCCTCTGATGTCCCGTTACTCTCTGGTGTCCCCTCATCGCCCTCTGGTGTCCCCTCATCACCCTCTGGTGTCCCCACTGCCCTCTGATGTCTCTTCATTACTCTCTGGTGTCCCCTCATCACTCTCTGGTGTCACCTCATCACCCTCTGGTGTCCCCTCAATACTCTCTGGTGTCCCCTCAATACTCTGTGGTGTCCCTTCCTTGCCCTCTGGTGTCCCCTCATTACTCTCTGGTGTCCATTCACCGCCCTCTGATGTCCCCTCATCACCTTCTGGTATCCCCTCATTACTCCCTGGTGTCCCCTCACTGCCCTCTGATGTCCCCTCATTACTCCCTGGTGTCCCCTCATCACTCTCTGATGTCCCCTCATTACTCCCTGGTGTCCCCTCATCACTCTCTGATGTCCCCTCAACACCCTCTGGTGTCCCCTCACTGCCCTCTGATGTCCCCTCATCACTCCCTGGTGTCCCCTCATCACTCTCTGATGTCCCCTCATCACCCTCTGGTGTCCCCACTGCCCTCTGATGTCTCTTCATTACTCTCTGGTGTCCCCTCACTGCCCTCTGGTGTCCCCTCATCACTCTCTGGTGTCCCCTCATCACCCTCTGGTGTCCCCACTGCCCTCTGATGTCTCTTCATTACTCTCTGGTGTCCCCTCATCACCCTCTGGTGTCCCCTCATTACTCTCTGGTGTCCATTCACCGCCCTCTGATGTCCCCTCATCACCTTCTGGTATCCCCTCATTACTCCCTGGTGTCCCCTCACTGCCCTCTGATGTCCCCTCATCACCCTCTGGTGTCCCCTCATCACTCCCTGGTGTCCCCTCATCACTCCCTGGTGTCCCCTCATCACCCTCTGGTGTCTCCTCACCACCATCTGGTGTCCCCTCACTGCCCTCTGATGTCCCCTCATTACTCTCTGGTGTCCCCTCACTGCCCTCTGATGTCCCCTCATTACTCTCTGGTGTCCCCTCACTGCCCTCTGATGTCCCATTACTCCCTGGTGTCCCCTCATCGCCCTCTGGTGTCCCCTCAATACTCTCTGGTGTCCCCTCACCGCCCTCTGATGTCCCCTCTCTGGTGTCCCCTCATTACTCTGTGGTGCCCCCTCACTGCCCTCTGATGTCCCATTACTCTCTGGTGTCCCCTCATCACTCTCTGGTGTCACCTCACTGCCCTCAGGTGTCCCATTACTCTGTGGTGTCCCCTCACTGCCCTCTGATGTCCCCTCATCGCCCTCTGGTGTCCCCTGCATACTCTCTGGTGTCCCTTCACCACCCTTTGATGTCCCCTCAATACTCTCTGGTGTCCCCTCATCACCCTCTGATGCCCCCTCACTGCCCTCTGGTGCCCCTCATTACTCTGATATCCCCTTATCACCTTCTGGTGTCCCGTCACAGCCCTCTGGTGTTCCCTCATCACTCTCTGGTGTCCCCTCATCACCCTCTGGTGTCCCTTCATCACTCCATGATGTCCATTACTCCCTGGTTTCCCCTCACTGCCCTCTGATGTCCCTTCATTACTCTCTGGTGTCCCCTCATTACCCTCTGGTGTTCCTTCATCTGCTCCATGTCCTCTACTCTTTCTACTAGCAAAGACCAGTGACTGCAGCATGGGGGTCACATCTGGGATGGACCTTGGAGGGGCAGGCATGTGGTTCCTTTGACACTCCACACAGAAGGCCCACGCAAGGCCATGTTCAACCAGTGGGGTGGACGGGGGACATGACCCTTCTGGCACAGGGTGGGCTCTGGTAGGGGGCAAGAGCCCAGGAGACTGTGTGGTTCATCCTCAGCCTCTCCTGATGCTTCCAGGGAATGTCCATTTTCATAGAAACTTAGAGACAGTGTCAACAGTAAAGAGCCCGCCACCTGCCCTGGCCTGGGGTCCCGTGAGTAAGCAGCTCTACAACAGCACAGTACAGTGGGAAAACTCACCCATAAAACGCTGACCAGGGCTGGCCGCGGTGGCTTGTGCCTGTAATCCCAACACTTTGGGAGGCAGGTAGATCACAAAGTCAGGAGTTCGAGACCAGCCTGGCCAATATGGTGAAACCCTGTCTCTACTAAAAATATAAAAATTAGCCAGGCGTGGTGGCAGGCACCTGTAGTCCCAGTTACTCAGGAGGCTGAGGCAGGAGAATCTCTTGAACCCAGGAGGTGGAGGTTGCAGTGAGCCAAAACCATGCCACTGCACTCCAGCCTGGGCAACAGAGTGCGACTCCGTCTTGAGAAAAACAAAACAAACAAAAACACTGACCACACCCCTTCCTGTCCAGAAGCTGTGATACCGCAAAAACCCATCCACCTTTTTCAGGAAGGTCCCTGAGATACTCCGGATCCTCTGGCTTGGCCTGGACACAATCAGGGCATCCATGGAGCCCCAGAGGCTCTCCCTGCTCCCCCGAGCCTGGGCCAGAGAAGCCCTGGGGCCTGACATGCAGCCCCTCTAGCCAGCAAGGCCAGGCTCCCCACCTGGGCAGGAGGGAGATATGACAGCCAATCTCCTTCCCAGATGTCTATCCCCTTGGGGGTCTGAGCAGGGGTGTGGCTGCTCTCCAGTGGAGGGAGAGGCCCAGGACAACCTGACCCAGGTCACCTCTCCTCCCCTTCCCATATCCAAGGAAGGTGTGCAAGGGCCCAAAGGGTATAGGCAAGACCAAGGCCAACAGAGCTCATGGGACAGGGATGGAGACAGGACCACAATGAGGGCACAGGGAGAGTCGGCAGAGTTGCACACTGGCCTCTGAAGACCCAGCCCCCGGGCTCCAAGGTGACCAGATCTCAGATAGCATTTCTGTTCCATGGTGTAGTGCAGGCTGCTTGAGGAAAACACCTGCAGCACAGCTGGTGAGGAGAAGGGGGGGAGGGGGACGGGAGCGGGGGCAGTGCGGGGCACAGCCAGTGACCTTGAAGGATTCAGTGCACAGGGTGTCAAGACCAAGGTGCTCCCAAACACACGCCTGCTGCCCACGAAAGGCCTCAGAACGCTCGCTCCTGCCCCACATCCACGCTGCAATCAAGTCCTTCCTGTGGCACAGGAGCCTGCTGCCTCCTCCACCTCCACCTGAGTCCCAGGTGCCGCAGGGCAGACGGGACCCAGGGACAGAGACCAGAGCAGACACCCCTCCTGGCACCGATGGCTTTCACCCAACTGGATCAGAAACATGCTTGGCAACCAGAGATTAAATTATTCACATTGCAGTAAACTTTTTAAGGTCTCTGAGAGTTACAATAGGAACATCATGTGCAAAACTGACAGCTGTCCAAGGGCCCAGCCGACAGGACTGGCTCTCCCTGCCAGCTCGACCAGGCCCTCCCCGAGCGGGGACACGCTGCAGGGCTTGGCTGAGCCCTGGTGGACAAGGCAGAGCCTTCCACCCCGCACTGGGGCTCGTGTCCCTCGGCAGCTCCCTGCTCCTTCACAGTAGAGGACCTGGGCCACCCAGGGCCACCTGCGCCTGGAGCCTCTCCCTGGCCCCAACCAAGGGCTGACACGCAGGTCTGGGCAGCTCCTTCTGGGAAGGCCTACGATGACTGTGCAGAAGGTGTGGGTGCCCCCCGATCCACTGCCCATCATGCTGAGTCCTGGTCCATGCTGCAGCCCAGCGCCTCAATGTCGCTGCTGATGTCTGAGATCATGCGGTCCCACTCATCCCCCTCTGAGGGCGCTGACCGGTCATCAGAGCTGCCCGTGGCCCTGTTCCCGTTGGTGGTGGAACTGGATGTGGTGCTCAGGGCCCGCCGGTGCCTGCCAAAGCTGTCGGTGATGATGCCGCGGCCATCCTTCACGCCAATGGTCTCCAGGAAGTTCTCGAAGTGCTGACTGTCCTTCTCAGGGATGAAGGGCCTCAGACCTGCAGACACACAACACCCAGCATGGCACCTCCTGTTCGGCTCAACCCACTCAGCTCTTCTCTCAGGGCTCAAAGCCCCCTGACAGGGCCACAGCTGCCCCTGGTGCATGGCCTTGGGGACCCTGATGCCATGCTCACTGCATCTAGCATCCTGGTTGAAATCATGCTTCCTGGGGCCAGACAGTTTGGCTAAAACCTCAACTCTGACAGGCACTGCTGCTGGCCCTGACAGCTTACTGCCTCTGCCACAGGCACACTCCATGGCCTACAGGCACCAGCACAGGCCAAGAACCTGTGGTCTCCTCTCATTCTCTAACAGTCCTCACAAAGTCCTCATTTTACAGTGGGGAAAGCTGAGGCCCAGAGCAGTCCTCAAAGCCGCCTGCTGGCACCCAGCAACAAGGGTGCGGTTCTCGGAGGCAGGCCTCATGCCAAAGTCCACTGTTTCCCTGCCATGGCCTGGGTGGCTGCCCCAACTCAGAGGGCTGCCTTCTTATGCGGGAAGCCTAGTGTGTCTCTCAGAATCTCCACTCCCTGCTGTGGAGGGACAGACAGAGTCCCACGCCAGGAGGCGACACAGGACGCAGCACAGAAGGGGTGGGCACTGCTTAGACAGAACCTGTTGTACAGACAGGCTGCCCCAGCCTCCAGCCCTTCACGCTTCTAAGAGCAGGGAGCCCTGGGTAGGCAGTCCATGCCTGCCACTGCCAGATCGGTACAATGGTAACAAACCCACCTTCCTTGGTTTGCGGGAAGAACAGGCCCAGGACCCAGAAGCCTTCAAATGGCTACCAGCAACAAACTACTGCCAACTTGCTGTGTTCTAATTGTCGGCAGAGGGAACCCACAGCTAAGTCACCGTCCCTGAGAGGTGTGGGGCCAACATCCAACTCTGCTGCTCAGACCACACAGCCCTCTAGCTGCACTGACCTAATGTGCTGAGCTTTTTGGGGGGTCTTGGCAAACGCTGGTCCTTCCGCCTTGAAGTCCCACACATTCACCAAAACCCATGCCTCCCTGGCTCCTCCTGCACTCTTCTCCTAAATCTCAGGGTTGTGTTCACTCCCAGCCCTGCTCCTGGGAGATCTCTGCTGCTTCCTGGCAGGACCCACCCAGCTCAGCCTGAGTTCCCAGGAGAATGAAGGCCTGTCGGTGGGCCCCCAACAGTCCCTGGGAAAAGCCCTTCTGATTAATCACAGCAGATTCCCCGATCTCTGGACTGTGCTCTCATGACCATCTCTGGTTCAAATCTCCCATCCCTGATGAAGCCCCTGCTGTACCCACTGAGGGGTCCGTGTGCACATTCCCAGGAGGGATCAGCCTCCCCAAGCCAGGTCTGGACAAGCCACTCTCTTTCCGGGGCCCACTCACCAAGCAGCAGGAACTTGCGGCTGTCCCCGTAGAGCTGCCGCAGGTTGATGCAGAACTCGTGGATAGAGGCCCCATTGCGGTACTCGTGTAGCAGCGCTGCAAATTGCTGGATCTCCTGCGACGACAGCTTGGTGCGCAGCTGCAAGAGAGCAGAGCCAGGTGCAGGGCTGGGCACAGTGGGCAAGAGTCGGCAGTCGGGCCCACCCTGCGACAGCCACTAACCCCAGCCAGAGCACCAGCTGTCTCTGGCTTCACCTCTGCACAGGCTGGGGCATCAGAATGCCCACAATGTGTCCGCATACTATCAGGCTTGGCACGGGGCTCACCCAGAAGAGACCAAGGCACCCGGGCAGCTCCACTCTCCTGAGCTGGAACACAGAGTGCATGGGAGGGACAGGAGCCAGCAGGGCAGGGTGGAAGTTAGCAACCTGGTACCAGGCCAATGCCTGTGCCCTCAGGCTACACACAGGCAGATTAGGAAGACTTGAGTTTTCTATGACAGAACTATATAAGATGGGAAGGATAAAAGTGTCTGGCCATGTAGCCTTGCAGAGGCCACTGTTCCCTCCCCTCCCCCAGGACCCAAGCACAGGCCCGAAGTCCAGTCCTGATGGCCACAGCACCCCCAACTCAGCCCTACTGACTCATGCTCTCCTAGACTATCCCCGGGAAAAGGCAATGATGTCAGCAAAATTGACCAACAGTGCTAGGCACTGCTCCTCCTCCTCCTCCTCCTCCCCTTCCCCGCATCCTCCCTAGGGCACCCCTTCCCTCAAGCAACCCAGCGCCCCTGTGGCAGAGGCCTACCGTCAGCATGTAGTCCTGCAGCAGCTCAGTGGCGCTGGCGCTCAGCTCACTCTCACTGATGGTCTTGCCGTGGGGTGACGCACCACCCACATCCACGGACTCAGGGAAGCAGCTGCGGAAGAATGTGGTATGTGAGTGGGTGGCTTCCCTGACCCTCCATCCCACACACGTTTCAGGAAACTTAGTCCATGCTGTGTGTGTGGGTCACTGTCCCTGAACAGAGGAATGTAAGTGATGATGATGATAACAGGAGAGCTGGCCGAGCGTGCAAGGTGGTCAGCTTGGCCTGGTCCTGGGGCTCCCCGGGGGTGTGGCTCTGAGGTGGGCTCTGAGTGAAGGGAGGGAGTACATAGGTCAAGGTGGTGGGCAGCATTGTTGGGAGGGGGAAGCGAAAGGCTCGAAGGGAGGAGCCGGGGTTGTGGGGTGGCAGGAATGGAGAGCACCAGTGGGCTGAAGTACTACAGAGGCCCAGGCAGTGGCAGATATGGGCTGGAAGGCCAGCGCCTCGGCAGACTTGGGTAGGGGAACAGCTCCATCCAACATGCCTATTACAAGTTCACTCTTGGGAAGCCATGGGAAGGTGGGCAGGGAGAGACCAGAGGGACAGCAAGGGCTCTAGAAGTCTACGAGGAGAGGGCGGCGAGTCAGGCCTCAACCATTCACTAAGCTGGGGACAGTGGGTCTGGGGATGGCTTAGCGAGGTGGGGCTGAGATGGGGGCACCGACTGGCTGCAGCCTGGACAACACTGGGCAATGCACTTGGTGCGTGTCCCACCGCACGGCTTGGTGGCATGTGCACTCACAAAGTGCTGGCTTCCACCTCGTAGGTCTCCTTAATGTCCACTTTTGTAGAAGAGTCATCTGTAAGGAAGATGCAGAAAACTAAGATGACTTTCGGGGACATGGTGGGGAGGCATTTTGAGTCCAGCCCACTGCTGTATTTACAGGAGACAGCGGCAGCCCTGGCCTTCAGGGACCCTGCTGTCCTTCAGCAAGCTGCCCACACTCTGGAATGTGCTGTGTGCCTCAGGGCAGGGCTCCCCAGACTTAAGCCCACATACACCCCTCCTGGGGATCCTGGCAAATGCAAATCCTGCTGCAGGCTGGGCTGAAGTTCACATTCACCCATGGCCAGAGTCAACAAAAGCTGTTTTTGAGGTATCACTCATGTGCCACGCAGGGTTACTGGGGCTTTGTCTCCTTTAACCCAGGCACATATCACCCCTATCTTCACTTGCAGACGAGGAAGTAAGTCAAAGAGATTACACAACTTGGCCCAGGTCATGCAGCAGCAACCACAGTCAGAGCCGGGCAGTCTGACTCCCCACCTGAACCCAGCGAAGCCACAGGATTCCTAAGACCCTCAGACCAGCAAAGGGTCTAACACTGAGCAGCTACATTCAACAAATGACATTAGGTCTGCGTGACACAGACTGTAATTTGCTATTCTAAACCTGAGGAAGGCACATTTCCACACCAGCGCAGGCAGTGAGTGAAAGCTTTGTGAGTGAGGCAGGTGAGTGTTGCGGAGAGGGTAAGATTTTAAATGGGAGCAGAGGGAGAGGCTGGGAGATAAAAGGGACATTTCTGGCACTAGGAACAAGGTAAGTATGGAGAGCAGAATAATGACCCCCCAAAGATGTCCACATCCTAATCCCTGGAATTGGTGAATATGTTACCAATTTCAAAGGGGAGTAAAGGATGCTAATCAGCTGACCTTGAAATAGGGAGATGACCCTGGAGAATTTGGGTGGGCTCAATGTGATTGCAAGAGTCCTGAAATGCAGAGGAAGCTGAGAGTCAAAGGAAGATGTGACTGTGGAAGATGTCACGTGGCTGGCTGTGAAGACAGAGGAAGGGCCATGAGCCAAAGCATGCAGCCGCCTCTAGGAGCTGGAAAGACAAGGAAATGGCTTCTTCTCTGGAGCCTCCAGAAGGAACCAGCCCTGTGGACACCTCAACTTTAGCCCAGTGGGACCCACATTGGACTCTTAATGTATAGAATTATAAGAGAATATATTTCTGCTGTTTATGCTGCTATGTTTTGGCATAGCTGGAGTAGAGAGAACACAGCAAGCAAAACTCCAAGGCAGAAATAAGCAGAGAATGCATGCATGTGCGTATGGGTGTGCATAACGTGTGCACATCTGTGTGTGGATCCCAGGGGGAGGTCTTGGGAAAGGCTGGCAGGGGAAGAAGCCCACTTCAGCAGCCCTCAGTAGTGGTGTTACATGATGTGTTTATTTTGTGAAAATTCATTCAACTGTACATGTATGACTTGTGTACTTCTCAGTAAAAAAAATTATTAAAGAAAAAAAAGGCCCTTTGGGAATTTTAAAGTACAAGGGCCAAACCAATCACACTGAAACTGAATGGCAGTTTGATAAATCGTCTGCTACTCATATGGTACATTCCTCTGGATATACTGTTGACTTCTAAGCCTCTACTTCCCCATCTCTAAAATGGGGATGAAGACTGCACCTAACTCACTAGGTCACTGAGGACTAAATGAGATGGAGAGCATGCCTGAGAGCTCAGCAGCTGTCCTCTCTGCAGCTGCTGGGCCAACACAGGGCGTAACGTGCCCCAAAGGGCTCTGGCACCAGCAGCAAGAAAGGGAGGGAGGAGGCACTGAGGAGCAGCCCTCACACCGGCACAGGCTTCCCCAGGGTTCTCCACCATTTACTCTCTTCACTGAGATGTGTGTTACTGGGGAAAGGGTAGAGGGCTGGTACTTATCTCCATAAAAAGAAGAAATTGCACTCAACAAGCCACACTGTTTCCAACAGCTTTTGTTTTTTGTTTTTTTTTTCTTTTTTTTTTTTTGGTATTTTTAGTAGAGACAGGGTTTCTCCATGTTGGTCAGGCTGGTCTCGAACTCCCAACCTCAGGTGATCCGCCTGCCTCAGCCTCCCAAAGTGCTGGGATTACAGGCGTGAGCCACCACACCCGGCCTCCAACAGCTTTTTATGCACCTGATTTATGTAAACCATTAATCCTCAATAAGTAATACATCTGAAAAACAGATGATGTTTTTAAAGATTTAACTCAAGTGAGCTTGCTGACGAAGTGTTTTCAATGGACTAACAGACTCCTGAAAATGCTGTGTGGGTCATGCAGGAGGAGGCAGCTCTGGGGTGCGTTCGATTCTTCCCCATCTGCCACTGCTCCACCACTACCAGCTGACCTCCCAGGGCAGCCTGAGCAGCTTCCCATGGGTCTGGCCATGGTCCTGGAAGGAGTTTCACATTAAGAGCAGCCATGGTCTGGGCATACCGAAAAGGAGGCTCCCCAGATCCACTCTCAGCCTCCCCAATTCCATCACAGGCCCTAATGCTAGCAGCCTTCTCCAGGCTCTTTGTTCTGACTTAAATTAAGTGACTTTAGCCACAAGTGGTTCCAAAAAAGTGTTCGAAGACCCCAAATGTATTCCAGGAAGCCATCGTGCTGACCTGGTGCAACTCGCTCAAGGACAGGTGACATTTCTGCCTTGATGAAACCCTATGGGCTAATGTGAACAGCAAAGTCTGGGAACAAAAGGCCACCATGTCACGGCAGTAACTGCGCTATTCCAGGGGTAACTCATGGAGAGCTGGGGGCCACTGCAGTAGCCCCTCCTGTCCCTGCTCCCACCCGCTGCCCACTCTCACTCAACATACCGCTGTGCAGGGACAGGTGGTGGGTGGGGGTGGAGGCCCCATCAAATATCGCTCTGTCCAGAAAGTCGATGGTGGACTCCGTGTAAACAACCTGGAAGACCTGGCCTAGCAGACAGCAAAGCTCCTCGGCAGCAACCTGCAGTAGGGGACAGCAGCTGCTCAGTCAGTCTGGCTGGAGACTGTGCCTTCCCAAGCAGCTTCCAGGATACCTGGGGCAGCCCAGATGCTCAATCAACATGAATGAAGAGCGGATGCCAGAATGTGTCCCTCTACCTTTCACTGACCCAAAGAGGTGTCAAAAGGGAGACCTAGCCAACTGCCCCAGGACTCCATCTAGGACTGCCACATGGCCCAGGGGTGGTTTTGCAAGTGTGAGAGGACTGTGCAGGGCACAAGTGTTAGCTGCCAGCCCTACGTCCTCTTTCCATTAACCTGACCTGTCAACACCCTCACAACCCTATCCCAGCCCAGGAAACAGGTGAGAGGAGATACCATCAGTATCACAGCCCACCTGGAGGCGTTTCTAACAGCTATAAAACAGTTTTATGACAGTGTGCTGTCTAAAGCAGAGGCTCTCAACTGGGGCAATTTTTGTACCCCTCCCAGGGGACATGTAGCAATATCTGGAGATACTTTCAGCTGTCACAAGGGGAGAAGCTGGGATGCTGCTCAACACCCCACAATGCACAGGGCAGCCTCCCACAGTGGAAAATTATTGGGCTAAAAATGACAGTAGCATCAACACTGAGAAATGCTCATTACAGGATATTTAAGGTGGGTGGTCACTAGTATCCATTTTACAGATATGGAAACAGAAAGGTGTTAAGTGACTGCCAAGGCCCCACAGCTATTGGGTGGCTGAGGGGGCCCCAAACCCTAGCCTACAAGGGCCCGGCCCTTGGCTCTTCCAGGTGGTGAGTAATCTATAAGCACAGTCCTGAACACCAGGCAGGTCTAGGATGCAGCTCCCAGGCAGGTGACTGCCGCTGCCCGCCCATCAGCGTGGGGGCACCTTGAAGAATGATAAGCAAAAAGCTCAGTAGCCAGGTGGTCTCAGAGAAGGTGCTGGGGCTTGGAGATAGAAGGGTCGGAAGGCACAGGGGCAGGAACCGTTAGGGAGCCTGGGCCTGGGGCAGGACCTGGGATGCAGCCATGGGTAGAGGAGCTGTGGGCAGGGCCAGGATGGGGGCAATGCCTGGGGCAGGGGTGAGCAGAGAGGTGGGGCTGGGCGGAGACTAGGGTGAGGCGGGGACAGGCAATGGCAGAGGAAGTAGCTGGGTCCAGGGCAGTACCCAGCACTGTGCTGGGTATGGCCAGGGTGGGGCCACAGGCGGAGCTGGCCATGAGCAGGGTTTGGGAGGAGCCAGGAACAGGACTCGGTTCTGAGTGAGTGGGGCGAGAAAGTCTCACCTTGCTCTCTGCAGCCAGGATGACCAGGCAGCATGCCTCCACGGGCCCAACTGCACTCTCCGACAGGGAGCCTGCACTGAGACCTCTGGAACTTTCCGCACACAGACTCTGGCTGGGGGAGATCCCTGGGTCCTGGGCTAAGAAGTCAATACCATCTCAGGTTAGTGCAGTGAAAGGGCAGGCATGGGGGCACTGGAGGCAACAGCTGAGGCCACTATGGAAACAGGCTGAGAGGACCTTTACCTGGCTCAGGCACCCATAGAACAACCCGGGTGAAGGGCCTGCACCAGACGCACCTTGCTTCTCTAAAGAAGGGTGGGAACACACGACCCCTGAGCACCAGGGCACCAGAGCTGCACATCATCCTGTAGTTTCACATGCTTCAAGTTCATATACAGCAGACCACATACACAACTCTGAGAACAGTCACCTCCAGGAGGTTTCCATGTGTTCTGAGGGAGTTCCCTTCTTACAGATGGGTAAACGGAGGCAGGGTAAGTGAAAGGCCAGGCCTGAGGGTGTGTGAGCTGCACTGTCCACGTGGCAATCTAGATGGTCAGACGCCAGTGCCCTCGTTTCTAACATCCTACCCATCGCCTCCCTAGACAAATGAGGATCTCTTGAAATACATGGAGTAACTCAGTGGTTTTCCTGATAGCAGGAGGGAGGACCACCCCCAGGAAGCAGGGCTCTTACCATCAGTTCGGACCACCCTGGGAGGACTTCAGGACTGAAAACAAAACCTAGAAGTGCCATTAGTGCCAGGGTGTCGGAGGGCAGGCCAGCCTCAGGAGGGAGAGGAAGGCTGTCCCAGGCCAGGTACAAGGTAGGCGCATGCACAGAGACACGGGCTCCATAAGGGACTGTACCTCAAACCCCACAGTGAGACTCCTGGGGCTGCTCTGTCCCTGTGGTAGCCACTGGCCACAGGACTACTGAGTATGCAAAATGTGATGAGTCCACATTGAAACGTGTGAGTGCAAACTATACACAGGGTTTCAGAGGTAGACAAAGAAAGAATGCTATGTAGCTCAACAATTTTTATATTGATTATATACTGATGTGATAATGTTTTGGGTACAGAGGGCTAAATAAAATATATTATTGAAAATAATTGGTCAGGCGCGATGGCTCATGGCTGTAATCCCAGCACTTTGGGAGGCCGAGGCGGGTGGATCGCCTGAGGTCAGAAGTTCAAGACCAGCCTGGCCAACATGGTGAAACCCCATCTCTACTAAAAATACAAAAAATTAGCTGGACGTGGTGGCGGGAGCCTGTAGTCCCAGTTACTCGGGAGGCTGAGGCAGGAGAATGGCGTGAACCCGGGAGGTGGAGCTTGCAGTGAGCCGAGACCGCACCACTGCACTCCAGCCTGGGTGACAGAGCAAAACTCCGTCTCAAAAAAAAAAAAAATTCACTTGTTTCCTTTTACTTTTTTTCTTTTTTTGGTATGAGTTTGGTAAGAAATCTCTACCTTTTAAACATTTTTTAAATGTTGGCTCCCTGGTGTGTACCTGTGGCAGTTCTCAAAGCAGCAGGGTGGGCAGCCTAAGGATGCAGGCAGCAAGTTGTATGCCTCTCCTGTATCATCCAGGAAGTGCTACCGTGGGTGCACGGGTGACCCTACCTCATCTGGCACCAACTCAAGTCACCGCCCTCCAAGCAGTTCCTGCCACATGGACCCTATTGCAGCTAACCCGGCCCCTAACTTCCCCGTTCCTGTGCTATCCCAAATACCAGGGTACTTTTGGTCCAAAGAGACACAGAGACTTGCTTGCACATAGCGGGCACTAAGTAAACGTTAGCTATTCACCTGCTGGTCTCTTATGTTGAGAACTCTGGATTCCTAATCCTAAACACAGCATGGCGGCTCAGTGCAGTGGCTCATGCCCGTAGTCCCAACACTTTGGGAGGCTAAGACGGGAGGATTACTTGAGGCCAGGAGTTCAAGACCAGCCTGGGCAACAGTGAGAGACCTCATCCTTAACAAAAAAAGTTAAAATATTTTAAAAATTACAAAATAAACACAGCATGCCTCATGTAACACAGGAGACACAAAACTGCTCCAGTGCATCTGCAAAAACAAAAAAGATGGCCCCCAGGACCCAGGGATTCACTCTCTTCCTTTAAACCAAAAGTTCTCTCAAAGACCAGAGGTCCTGTTTTTCATCTATTTTTTGGAAAGTTTCTCACTATGGCGCTCATTCTCTCTCCATTTAAAAAAATCTGTTATCCATTTCCTTTAGCAATGTGTTCTAATAATTAAAGCTGAGAAACTGTCATGCAGCAGAAGAATTAAAGGGGGGGCCTATCTCTCCTCCCTACCAGCTTGAAATACCTGCAGGAAGCCAGTCAGAAACCAGTCTCCTCACTCCTTGTCCCTAAGGATGGCCCAGGCCTAAGGCCTCCTGCAGGGTCCAAAGGTAGAAAAACAGGAGGGTCACCATGGTGTTGGACAGTATGGCTAGAAGTAGCCACCAAGCCAGCCTTCTCAGCCAGACAGGGTGAGTAACGTACATGTGTATAGGTGTGGTGTGTGCCTGTGTTGGGGAGGATGTACGCAAGTCTAAGCTACTGCTACACAGAGAACAAAGCAGAGCAACAGTCATCTTCATAAACCCCGCCAGTGTTCCCTGTGTAGTCTGTGACCACAGCAACTCCAAGCATCTAGACTCACAGGCTTTCTGTGGACGGATCTCAAGAGCGCACTCAAGCTGGCAGCTTCATGGCTCAAGGGGTCAATAATGAACACACTCGCCAGATTCTCAATGAACTACTGACCTTAAACGGAACAACAACTTCCCCTCTCTGCTACCTCAAACACAGTGTGTGGTCTAAGCAGACCCACTGTGACCTCTTCACACCCTGCCACTGGACCTTGGGAAATGAAAGGCTTTGGGATCAACCCAGTCACCAGCAGAGATCCAAGGAACCCAGGATACTGTCCCTACCGCAACGCCAGCTTTAAAACTCAGGACTGGGAGGGGCAAAATACAGGGAGGGTGAACCATGGTCTCTCCCCTCATCCTCAGTGGCATGAATGCCTGGGCTGGAAGCCACTGGAAATTAATAGGCAGCTTGGGATAGGGTCCAGTGAGGCATCACTGTACTCACCACAGCCAAAAATAACATTCTGCCCAATTCTATCCCATTGTGAAAGCAGCAGGCAGCAAGGACACACAAAGAGTAACCTCTACGACCAAGAACTCCTGCGAGGTCTGGGTCTCATCTTTGCTGTCCCTGCTTTAAGGACACTGTGCAGAGCTCAAAATGTCAGTCAAGCTGAGGTGAGGTCCCTACCCACTGCGTTCTCTCTAGGATCCACCACACCTAGGCAGAGAGGCAACTCCAGTGTACCCAGTGGGAGTCAATAGGAGCCCCGCCGGGCAGAGGAACAGGATACCAGTCCTAAATATTGTATCCCAGTATTGTTGAGTCCCCAAAGGCTCTTAGTGTGCCAGTGACTCCCAGTGTCTGGTAACTGATCTCAAGCCCTCTTCTGGCTGATCTCAGAGACAGGAAAGCCAACTATTGGTCATGACAAACAGCAGCACCCAACACAAAGCTGCAAAAACTGTCTCCAGAAGTTCATAAAATTCACACATGCACTCCTTAGGACAAGGACCCTCCTGACCCCTGACCTCCTGTACCTGTCTTCAGGACCACCAGGTGCGCGGCGTCATCCCGAACATAGGAGACGGCGGCGATGTCATGGATGGGCACCCTGAGGATGATATCCTCCCCGTCCCTCCAGGCCAGCTTGACGTTGTATGCAGACAGGCTGAGCACAGCATCGTGCTCCTGAGTCAAGTGTCCCGGAAGCTGGTGGGCTCTCTGGAAAGAACCACAGGGCGTCAGAAATGCAGACTCAGCTGTCAACCGGCATGGGGCTCTTCTCCTGAGAATATTGTGCTGGCCGATGTCATACATGTGACAAATGCTGAGTGAATAAGGTCAGTGTTATTCCCCTCAGAACAGTGCTTATTCCAGGGACACCAATGTGTTCAAACCATTTGGGAGATTCTTCTGGAACTGCCTTCAGATTCGGACTTACGGCACGTGGTTTGAAATATCTTGAAAATGTAAATTCTGGAAACAGCCCAAAATCACATGGAGCAAGTCTCGAGAATCAAGTTAATGTCCATACTAAGGAATAGTCTTTATGGCCAAGAGCCAAGTGTACCCATAATGTGATGAGACTGGCTCATTCCTCACAGCCACGAGGCCAAGTGTACAGGGACCAAGGGCTGGTGGGGGCTGAGGGCTAGTGCACAGGGTTAAGAGGATAGGGTTACCTTTGCATTGTCTATGAAATGCAGGATTTCAGTCCTACTGGAGGGATTCAGGTATCCTGGTATGGACGTTAACTGACCTAAATACTGAAAGAAAGTGAAGAAAAAAAATGCCATGAGAAATGGGAGCTGAGCCAACACCACCATCACTACCGCCGAGAGCACAAACCAAGTGCTTCATACTCAAGCCACCAGGCCCATGGGTCTCCAATCTGGCTCGCGTGGAGGGCCAACTCTAGGAAGAGAGTCCTGGGTTCTTACAGAAATCTCTACTGGCTGAGGACAGTGCTGCCCCATCTCCTACTATTCTACAGTGAAGGTCATCATCAAAAGTCCTGCAATGGACATCCCAAACTACTAGTACCAAAACTACTAGTTTTGGTAGAATCCGTATTCTAAAACAGGGATGGCCAGTGTTTTCTAGTCACTGCTGGGGAAACTGAAAACAATGACACCATGCATAACTTCACTAAAAAATAAACTTACTCAATTGCAAAGGTCAACGCAGCTGAGAAATGAGCATAAATAGAAAAATGAAGTGCTATGGTTTCAAAGTGTCCCCCAAAAAGCATGTGCTGGAAACTTAGTCCCCAAATGCAACAGTGTTAAGGGTGGGGCCTTTAAGAGGTGATTAGGCTGGGTGCGGTGGCTTAGGCCTGTAATCCCAGCACTTTGGGAGGCCAAGGCGGGTGGATCACCTGAGGTCGGGAGTTCGAGACCAGCCTGACCAACATGGGGAAACCCTGTCTCTACTAAAAATACAAAATTAGCTGGACGTGGTGGATCATGCCTATAATCCTAGCTACTCGGGAGGCTGAGGCAGGAGAATTGTTTGAACCCGGGAGGCGGAGGTTGCAGTGAGCCGACACTGCACCATTACACTCCAGCCTGGGCAACAAGAGCAAAACTCCGTCTCAAAAAAAAAAAAAAAAAAAAAAAGAGCTGATTAGGCAACAAGAGCTCTGCCCTTGTGAGCAGATTAATGCTGTTATCCTGGGAGGGGGTTTGTTATCTCAGGAGCAGGTTCCTGATAAAAGGATGAATTTGACCCCCTTCCCTCTCCTGCCCTTCCACCTTTCGCCCTGGGATAACATAAGATGCAGATGCAGCCCCTCACCAGCTGTGCCCTTCAACGTTAAACCTCCTAGCCCCCAGAACTAAACGATTTTTTTTTCTTTTTTTTTTTGAGACAGGGTCTCACTCTGTAACACAGGCTGGGGTGAAGAGGCATGATCTTGGCTCACTGCAACCTCCGCCTCCCAGGCTCAAAGCAATTGTCCCACCTTAGCCTCCTGAGTAGCTGGGACTACAGGGGTGTGCCGCCACACCTGGCTAATTTTTGTAGAGATAGGGTTTTGCCATGTAGCCCAGGCTGGTCTTGAACTCTTAGACTTAAGCAATCTGCTCACCGCAGCCTCCCAAAGTGCTGGGATTACAGGTGTGAGGCACCATGCCCAGCCTAGAAATTTCTATTCATTATAAATTTCCCAGTCTGTGGTATTTGTTATAGCAGCACAAAACAGACTAAAACATTTAGTAAACAGGTTTTTTTGGTCACACATGGCTGTGAGGCACTTAGCTTAGCAAACCTCCATGACACAGGGCCTCAGGTGCAGAAGGCGGTGGGCAGCAGCACTGTACCTGCTGTGCTCCTGCCTGCATCTTACCAACCACCATAACATTTTTAATGTTTCTGTTTTTTAAAATGGGTTGCCAATTCTTCCCAAGAACAGGCTTCTTGCACTCAACATTTTTCAGTTGCTCATTACTTCACACAGTTAAGTTCTCTATTAAAAAAGAATGAAATGGGACTTTCCAATTTCTTGTCCAGCTTGTAAAGGGCTCAGAAGTCATCACTCCCATCCTCACAACAAGAAAGCTGGCAAACTTACAATCAATGACTGTTCTTAGATCCATCAGATAATTGAGGTCACATGAAAAAACAATAACCCCAAAGATGGAGAGACAGATATGCAATGCTAAGAATCACAGCTCATTACGCAGCAGAAACCTTAGAGCCAGCACCAGCGGAGAGGAAAGGGGAACTGATAAATGACAGAGACTGCGCATGGACCAGTATGAGACAAAAACTCCAGGGGAACAGTCACTGGGGAGGTCCCCATACCAGTCTGAGTTTTACCACTAGGAGTCCCACCAGGCTGTCAGGGTGACTGGAGAAACATCTCCTCATACTCTGGCAGAAGGAGGGAAAATACATCATTTAAAAGTATAACCAGGCCAGGTGTGGTGGCTCATGCCCATAATCCCAGGACTTTGGATGGCCAAGGCGGGAGGTTTGCTTGAGGTTAGGAGTTTGAGACCAGCCTGGGAAACATGGTGAGACCCTATCTCTACAACAACAACAAAATAGTTGGGCATGGCGGCGTGCCTGTGGTGCCAGCTACTCAGGAGGCTGAGGTGGGAGGATCATTTGAGCCCAGGAGGTCGAAGCTGCAGTGAGTCATGATGGTGCCACAGCACTCCAGTTTTCCAACCAACATATAAAGGGCTCAGAGGTCATCTCAAAAAAAAAAAAGAAGAAAGAAAAAAAGAAAAGAAAAAGGAATGACCAGAGCATTCTGTTATCCTTAACAAAGGCCCTTCCTCAAGGAAAACTATTTTACCAGAGCCTAACCACCTAGGGGTAAGGAAACACCCAATTCCTGCCTCCTCTATCGTTTATGTCTCTCCTAACGGGGAGGAAAAAAACAAAACTAAGAAGCACATGTGAAGGCCACGGCCCAGGGACATAGGCTCACTAAAACACTGAGACCTAATTCCAGGACTACAGAACACTTTCTCTCCCCTGAAAGCCACATCAACAGGACCCCTGTGTAGTAACAGGGATGCACACCTATAAGAACTGCAAGCCTCAGACTCTATTTAAGAAGGAACCTTGAAGAAAACCCAAAACCAATGGAACACAAAAACAAGGACACACAAGAGATTTTATCCCCCAGCATCTACAAGGGCAGCAAACAGTAAACACAGCCCAACTCCCAGCCAGACAAACATACCTCACACTAAGGCCTATTAACCTGATGCCTAAGTTCCTCATATCAGAAACAGACTCAGACATGGTGGAGATTTGGGAACTACCAGATTGGGAATTTAAAACAACTACGATTAATATGGTAATGGCTCTAATGGAAAAAGTAGACATCATGTAAGGACAGACAGGCAGCATAAGCAGAGCTGGAAACGCTAAGCAAATATCAGTAGGAAATGCCAGAAAGCAAAGTCCTGTAACAGCAATGGGGACTGCCTTCGAGAAGCTCAAGAGGCTGGACACAGCCAAGGAGAGAGTCTCTGAGCTTAAGAATACGTCAACAGAAACCTCCAAACGTGAAAATCAAAGGGAAAAAAGAATGAAAGAAAGAAAACAGAATATGCAAGAACTGTGGGACAGTTACAAAAGGCGTAACATATGTGCAATGAGGATATCAAGAGAAAGAAAAGAACACAATAACTATTTGGAGTAATGAGAGCTGAGAAGTTCCCCAACTAATGTCAGACACCCACCCACAGATCCAATGAGGTCAGAGAACATGAAACGGTAAAAAGCAGGGAATCTACACTGAGGCAAATCACATCAAATTGCAGAAATGAAAGACAAAAAGAAAATCAGAAAGGAAGACTATCTCTTCTGCAGAAATCTGGGGATTTTTTCCACAGGAAAAAAACACCCTACCTATAAAATGGCAAGAAAAAGAATCACACTGGACTTCTCTTCAGGAACCATTCAAGCAAGAAGAGAGAGGGAACTATTTGATTCTGTATCCAGTGAAATTACCCTTCAGAAGTGAAAGATAAATGATTTTTCTCAGAAAAACAATAACTCAGGGATTTAACATTTCAAGAAAAGTTAAAAGAACTTCTTCAGAGAGAATGAAAATGATATAGTCAGAAACTCTGATCTATGTAAAGGGGAAAAGCATCAGAGAAGAAATAAAGGTAGGTAAAATTAGTATTTTTTTAAATTTTAATTGCTCTAACACATTAACAGTTTGTTCAAAATAAAATTTGTGTATTGGGTGACTGTAGCCTAAAGATAAATGAAATAAATGACAGCAATGTTATAAGCAGCAGGACGAGTGAATTGGGAATACTTGGTTACAAGGTATTTGTACTACCTGTGAAGCAGCACAGCATTATTTGAAAGTGGATTTTGATTAGTTGTGAATGTATATTGTAAACCCTAAGGTAACCATTAAAATAAATACATATACACACACATACATTTTTGAGACAGGGTCTTGCTCTGTCACCCAGGCTGGAGTGCAGTGGCACGATCACAGCTCACTGCAGCCTCAACCTCCCAGGCTGAAGCGATCCTCCCACCAGTAGGTGAGACTACAGGCACATGCCACCAGGCCCAGCTAATTTTTGTATTTTTTGTAGAGGCAGACAGGGTTTTGCCATGTTGCCCAGTCTGGTCTCGAACTCCTGAGCTCAACTGATCCGCCCACCTCGGCCTTCAAAAGTGCTGGGAATACAGGCATGAGCCACCGCACCTAGCCTGTATTTTTTGTTTTTTCTTTTTTCTTCTTTTTTTTTTAAGAGACAGGGTTTCACCACATTGCCTAGGCTAGTCTCAAACTCCTAGGCTCAAGTGATCCTCCTGCCTTGGCCTCCCGAAGTGCTGGGATTACAGGCATGAGCCACCATGCCTGGCGAAAAGTTTTAAATAAAATATTAGCAAACTGAATCCAATAATGTATTAATAATTATATACCACGATCAAGCGGGATTTATCCCAGGTGTGCAAGGCTGCTTCATTGTTCAAATATCAATCATTGTGGCGGAGGCGGTGCTCATGCCTACAATCCCAGGATTTTGGGAGGCCAAGACAGGAGGATCACCTGAGGTCAGGAGTTCAAGACTAGCGTGACCAACATGGTGAAACCCAGTCTCTACTAAAAATAAGAAAATTAGGCTGGTCATGGTAGCTCACACTATTAAAAACTGGGCAAATGACTTGACATTTCTCTAAAGATACACAGATGGCCAATAAGCCAAGCCTAAGAAAAGATTTTCAACATCAATAGTTATTAGGGAAATGCAAATCAAAACCATAATGAAATACC